GTCCATTATTAAATTACTAAAATTAGAGCCATATCCAGTACTGCGTGTATATATATAATCTAATTCCTACATCTTAAGCTCTGCATCAAGTGCAACTAATTTATCAAATGCATTTCATCATGCTTCAGAAAACGTACTATAATAAGCACTCCCTATTCCAAACCATTGACAATCATTTTTAGGACAGGCCTCGTGAGCCCACGAAACAAAAGTTATATATTCTTTGAAAAAAAAAGGGCCAAACAAGGCCACGAAACAAGCAAAAGTTAAAAAGAAAAAAAAAGCGAGGCAAAAAGCATCATGGCCAATAGACCACAACATGAGAGTAATACAATAAAAAAAATATGGCCAAGCAAGGCCAATGTTAGAAAGTTGAAAAAAAGCGTGTCAAAGGGAAAGCTAGCGAGTGAAAAAAAGAAAAAGATGGTGAAATGAATATACAAAAAGTTTAAAGTGTATCAAAAAAACATAAGTCTTTCGATAATGAATCTAATGAGGTAATGCAGACAGCGAGATAGTGTCTATGTATAGTGTCCAACACTTCTGGTACTCTTTCTTGCATTCCTTTTCTTTCGATATAATCTTGAACTTTTCGAATAATCGCTCGTCTTCTACGAAACCATTTGCCGTCTGAATCACTTTTTCGCCATGCAGTTTTGTACACTTCTTCCATTCTAATCACAGACATGCCGCCATTCCAACTGTCAAACCATTCAGTCCATAATTGTGGGATTGTTTGGATGTTTGTGCGGTTCATGGATGGATATATGGGCTGTTGTTGTTGGGGGTGATGATGATGGTGATGAGTTGGTGCTGCTGCTGCTGACGATGATGATGACGATGTTGGTGCTGGTGCTGCTGACGACGACGACGAAGATGATGATGGCACTGGTGCTGCTGATAGCAGTGCCACAGTTGCTGTCATGGTGGATGGGAGGGAGGAGGACGAGGACGGGAGCGAAACCAAGCCCCAACCTTCCTGCTGCTGTTGTTGTTGCTGCTGCTGACCTGCCAAGTTGAGCGTGACGCTCAAGGACGCTTGTCCGCTGGCGATACGGTCCCAATGCTGTACAATATCTCCTATACGACTCATGTTTGGTACAAGCTACGCAAGTGCTTCTAGAGTGGGTATGGCGTTAGAGAAAGATTGTACAATGCGATTGGTGTCTTGTTGCTGAGCAGCGATTTGTTGTTGCAAGATGGCAAGTCTATTTTCAATGATCGGCACGGCACGTTGAAGTAACAGATCAGTGGGCTCTTCGTTGTTTTCAAGTGCATGATTCAAGTTACTATTTTAAAAGGATAATTAGTATATAAACGAAAGACTGTAGTCCACCAGCACATACCGTTCAAATTCAAGATACAAAGGATCTTGCTACAAATGATGACCTGGACAGCGCTTTTTCATCAAAACCGAATCTTGCAAAAATACAACACGCAACTGCACAAGAAGAAGCAAAAACGAATCAGCCATGCACGAGTCCTCCACTTGTTTGGCATCCAGCAACGCCCGCCACCGATCGACTTCAGGAAAAACCTTCTTACAAAGCTCAAGGGGTGGTGTAACAGCAGCACGAGGTAAGTAGAATTGGCCAGCCTCTCTAGTGGATCCTGCCATGGTCCACATGATATCACGAGGCAAATTGGTTAGATAACTGGTCGATAAAGCAGAATTATTCCAACGACCTAATCGCCGGATAGACTCTTCACTCGTTCCAGATATCTCTGCCGTGCGTGCTGACGAACCCCTCATAGCATGAGTGACCGCTTCACTATGAATGCCGACTGACTTGAATGCTTCTAAAGTACACTCGCGATGACGATCATATGTAATGGACTGCGTGTTGCGATCTCTGCCTCTGATGAGCTTGATGTCGAACCAATCTCGATTGCTTTGGAAACAAGGAATGCCTCACCAGCAACGTGCCACCGATGAAAGAGATAAAAGGAAAGCATCATCAAAGGACAGATAACAACATTGGCGTTACGCATCGCAGCAGCAAACTCCACACGGCCCTCTTGGTTTGCTTTTCCTTGCTTAAGCACCATCACCAACGCATGACATTCAGTGACACCCTTGCGCTCAAGAAGTAATGTTTGTAGATCGGCAAGTTCCATCATACGAATGCTTTCGCCCCATAGAAGTCCATAGTGTTGCAGAAGAAAAGCAGTGCAATTTCGCAGTCCTTGTTGCTTGTTGGTGGCCAGAAAATGATCTACAATACGCTCCATCTCAGCTGATGTCGAATAACCATATGCTGTCGTACGCATGCCTCTGTCTTCGTAGTTTTGTCGACTAAGCTCGTTTTCCACACATTTCAAATGATCAACCAGTGCATGAACAAGCGGGCCACGCAGATGCGGACGATTGAAGCAAGGTTCTGTTTTGGCTTGTTCAAAATGGAGATCGACAATGGAAGTAATGTATTATTTAACGGTAGCAAGCTTGACTTTGGGGGCGGGGGCATCAGGCACAACAGGTTGCTCAACAGTATAACCCGGAGCATCGCGTACAGGTAGAGCAGCAGATGATGACGACGAGGATGATGGCATAACGGCGGTGGTGGGCGAGAGAACAGCAGCAGACGAGGATGATGGCATGGTGGTGGTGGTGGTACGTATGGCAGGAGCAGGTGACGAGGCGGGCGACAGCACAGAACTCTCTGGCTCTTTTCTCTTTCTTCCAGGTTTACGCTTCTCTCTGAAGACGACCTAAAAAGAACACAATTGTAAGACATGCGTATATATATAGATTGTGAACAGATATGTGGCTAACCTCTTCTACAAGAAAAAGATGAAGCTTTCTGTCGTCGATCAACTGGTTAGTGTGATCATTTAGACAGCATCTTCGGCACCACTCGTGAAATTCTTCCTGCCTAGGAGAATACGATCTAACTGTATTCTGCAGACGGCTTCCTCGTGCTTATTTGTATGTAGCTTGGGCAGCAGATTCAGCAGCAGCTTGATACTCCATTTGCGAGCTCATGAAAGAAGTATACTGTGGTAGAGGGGGAGGGATAGGGAGAGAAAGAGGATGTGGTGAGGCACCATTACTCGCCACCACACAGCCCAGGTAATTAGCCAAACGGGCGGTGCTTCTCCTAGCGGGAGTAACAGTGCTACCACAACCTCTGCTCATGTTGTTAAGATAGTGAACGATTTAATAAGGAATGGAAATGAGATGAAGGAAACGGAATCTGACAGATGTGCCTGATAAAAGAAAAGTGGCGAAGCTTTTAAAATTCTTTTTTTTTTCCTGGATATCAAGATTGGGTCCCCGCTATGCTGTGGACCTGAGTCCGGACTTGCACTAAACACAAAATGATATTGCCAAAATATCAAAGTTAAAATTTAAAAAAAAAAAAATTATTAACAATTTATATTATAAAGTATAAGTTTTTAATTCTTTTTAAATATGAATATTATATATTTTAATTATAACAAAAACTTTAACGTAAAAAAATTATTAACACAAAATTCAAAAATATTACATTAATATAAATATCTTTAAATTTCTAGAAATCCTTTTGATACCAACTTGTCCCCCTGGTTGAGTTTGAAAAAAAGTGGAGGTTGGTGGCTAAGTAGGAGAAAAGAGTGATTTGTGGGGGGCATTTATGCTGGCAGAAGGGAGACAATGAAAACCAAAGATCTTCTTTCTTTTTTCATTGCATCAGTACATCCCTCATGGTAAACCAACAGCAGAGGGTAACCTTTAGTGTTATGATTTTAGTGAAATTATAAATATGTAAAAAATTATAAGTAATATAATTTTTAAATGTTTATAATAAATCATGAAATTAGTTTTTGTAATTAAAAAAATAATTTCTTAAACACTATAAGATCTCAACCAATAGGGTTAATCTCAACCATTATGTTTAAAACACTCTAAGTGGCGCAACGGTAGTGAGCAAGTCCCTCCTTTAGGCAAGGAAAACTTGGACGCAGCCTAACTTGACTGTGAAAGGAATAACCAAAATTAATTTACTGTTTACAGTAAAATTAATTGTTATGGATTGAGCCTCTGGTAGTGGTAATATTGTGGGGTGTCAACATTACATCAACACCACCATAGGGGTGCTTCCTTTTTAAATATAAATTATAAGAGAAAATATATTTTCCTTATAATTATATTTATCCTAATATAAAATAATGAAACATTTACAGCGTTTTGCGTTTGAAACTATAAAATTTCTAGGGGGTGTAATATAGAGATGAACACCGGTGCGAAATACTGTATTTGATTGGTTGGAGAATAGAAATGATTCGTGATAAACAGACTCTCCCTGGTGAGAAATTAAGGGCGTCTAATGGCTCACTTCCTTTTTTTCCATGGGCGATGGATGCTGTCTAAGAACGCATCAGGCTTATTTTCATAGTATGAATCAATCTTATATTCATCACAACAAAATTTTATTAAACAGAGGTCTTGCCTCACAGCTAACTTCCTTTTCCCTGTGGGCGACGGAGGGCATTCAACAGCGCACCGCGCTTGCTTCCCCGACACCAATCGAGCTTTTTCATCCATAACAACAAGACATTCAATGAACAGCGTGACATGTTCCACTAGTACGCAGCCAATTTTTAGAGCTTCAAAATCTATTTTGTGACAAGGCTTTCTGAATCTACAGTGGATCAATTCCTTCCTTCATCTCATTCTTTTTTTTTTCGTCCAACAGGTAAACTCGCATTGCTGGCCATACCAGCTGTACTGCCATAGTTCAAGCGTGAAGACTGAAAATTCTAGCAAGTGCATTTTTGCCACAGGTATCTAGACTCTTCAAAGGGCATCATTTTTTACTTGAATATAATATTTATTGCACAGAGAAAAAAAAGTTTGGCATAAGTATAACTAGTGTAGAAGGACAGGTGCATAGTGAAAGAGTGGAATGGAAAAAAATAAGTTGACATAGGTACGACTAGCGTGCATGAAGAAAGAAGTGGAAAAGGAGGGCATAAAAAAGGAGTGTAATGGGTACAGAAAAAACATAATAGCATTCCTACTGGATTTGCTCTTTTGCTAAGCAGCGATCGATATACGACTTGGCTACGCTCACCCAACGAATACATTCTGCAGCTGTGATCGTCTCCGCGGCTTCCTTAATACGGCTTGCCAAGCTATCTTCATCCGTCAAAGGCGTTCGTCGTATGCGCGATTGGATGGCCTCCCAACATGGACGGCACGGGTCAAGGAACGTAGAATTGTTGGGCATGTAAAGTGGGAAATGGCCTGCATTCCGTACCGCGTTCACAAACGGCCTTTCCCGGAACAAGTGTCTGTTTGCCATGACAACACCGCATCGAAACTCGCCTTGACTGATGGTTTTGAAAACCTCACTGGCAAACTGGATTAAGTGGTCCGGAGCAGTGCCTTTTGCCTTGCCGACCTTCTCCATCTGTCGCTGCTTCCTTTGAGCTTCAGCCACCATTGCCTCTTGGGAAACGGCCAGAACACCCCCTGCAGTGAGGCACAAGAAGATGTTCAAATCGTAGGATTTGGCCTCAGCCCTTGTTGTGCGTGCTTCAACGACCAAGGTCTCCGACATGACAACCGCTCCTTCGCTGATGAACATGCAGCCTTCGATGTAGTCTAGACTACGGGACATCAGCTCACCGGCAAACTTGCTACGACTTTCCAGAATATCGCCGGTGGCGGTGTAGGGAGGGACTGGTGGTAGTACAAGCGTGAATGCAACTGTTTGCTGGATTCGCTCCTTGACAGTTTTTTGACTAATTTTTAAACCTTTTAAATTTGTAGTATTAGTATGATAAAACGAGTATTCAAGTCATGTTGCATGTTGTTATAAATAGCTCACCTTCTAGTTGCTGGCACAGATCATCCTGCGCATCCTTGACTTTTACGACGTTCGCATTTTGGTCAGCTACGCTTTTGACGTAGAAATCCACGATTTGCCTTTGTTCGTCGGTGAGGTCGATCTTGCGCGGTCTCTTTATCTGGTTCTTGGCCTTATAACCTGGAGTCACACTGCTGTCTTCTTTGTGTTGCTTGTACAACTGATGGGCGCGCGAATTACTGATGTTGGTCAATTCGGCTGCTTTTCGCACGGACAGCTTCTTATACTCCACCAAACCGATCATCTTTGCCACCTGATGAGGAGTATACTTGATCAACGTCCACACGTGGTCAGCCGGTGCAATAGGTTCGAACGTTAAATCGTAGTCGTCGCTATTATCGCTGCGTGAGATGTCGTCAACAGCCATGGTGTTTTGGCCATTGCCATTGGTGCGGTCAATATCAATAGCGATATTTTGTGCATCGTCACCAGAGGTCGAGGTGGTAGCACTGGTTTCGCGCAGATAGGTGTTTTTGCTGACTTCGTAGTAGTAGTAGAAAGTGGTAGAGATCATGTTTAATGGAATGGGATGCTGTTGATAGATTGTCTTAGTATATCAATAAAATCTACTGCGTTTATATATGTTCTGGAAACGTGTTTGCGTATACATCATGAATATTGTGCTCATAGAGCGCATCTATCATTGAGATCTACATATTGATAGAGTGTCCGTGCTCTACTGTACAGCTTGATACCACGGTTCTACGTCACAAAGTCTACGATTATAGTAAGCACATTATTCCATGCAAAAAAAGAATTAAACAAGTTTTGGCATCACAGATATTAAGTGCAGATTTTATTAAAAACTAAAATTACGCGGATTGGATAAATGTAAATTTTGAAATCGAACAGAAATAGCTGCATCGCTGTCATGCTCTGGGAAATTTTGTTGTTGTTGGTGCCGATATTGCTGCTCAAGCTCCAAAAGGAACCTGTGCCGTCTGTGCCATGTCCAATGCACCGTGGCTGTGGACACTTTAATGTATTCGGCTATGCTTTTCATTGTGTGCCCAGCCTGATACAAATGTATCATCGTTCCCCTTTCTTCCAAAGAGATTACCCTGCGACGGCGGTGTGGAGTACCCAGGGGCGCTTGTTGCGTTTCTGGTAGGCGGCCTGTGTAGTCGAACCTTCGGCGGGCATCCCAATCATCGAGAACACCCGGGTTGTCCCGCATATACTCCTCACGGAGCTCTAGGTATCCTTATTAATAAATGCAGTTAATATCACCTGGCTAATTAGAGTAATAACAAAAGTATATGTAGCGCTACAATCATACTCTGCATAGTTGGGTCGTTCAATATGCGTTCCATGATACGTTTACTGGTTACTTGACGGTAGGTAATGACGAAGATTATGTTGATGATATATAGCGACAAAGAAATAAGCGTATGGATAATGTAAAACATTTAACGGGCTTGAATGATCAAATTTGCCGGATTTTTATATCGAAATTGCATAAAACACGGCAAGATTCCTTAATGCGAGGTTCCTTAATATATTGCGAGCTGACGATGCGACATCAGAAACAGCGCTAACGGACACTCTGTACTACTAATGAGAAGCTTACAAGGGCATTGTCTGTACGACGATACGTGTGGTTGCGCCTCATACTGTGCATAGGAGAGATCGATGATTTCGTCAAAAGGAAATTGGATAGCAGATAGTATAACAAAAAAAAATAATAGGTATGTAGTTATGTAAAAATGTTATCTGAAATCATATTAAACTGTATGCAGTAAATACTCGTCGCATGGTCGATCCATCTGTTATGATCGATAAAGAAGTTTTCTGGTTATGTACGTTCTCCTTGAATGGTGGCTACTGTATTGGCATCAGTCGAATATGAAGTTGGTTTTGTTATCCATGATACAGCAGCGAATGTATTGGAGCACTATCTAATTTAATATTATTGAGCTTAAAATAGCTATTAGGTCGGAAAGATACATGCAACCATGGTCTTCTGTTATTATAACATGCTGTCAAAACGAATTACAGCAGCAAAGCTCCATGTGGTACTCTGTTGTGTGCTACGAAACAAATCAGGGAACTAGATCGTATAGAAAACTCCATGCAGCCCAAAAAACATTGAGCTAATCTAAAAGGGGCTAAATGGAGTAAGAATAGCTATAGAATGAGCGAGCATAACGTTGAATGAATGCAAAAAACACGACGATGTAATAGATATAACGAATAACCATAATAATAGAAGCATACATGATCGATGGAACAAGCATCATAATAGTAGTAAAGCGAACGTAGTAAGCAAATAAAACAAACAAAACGAACGTGGCAAGCAAATCTAACAAATGAAACGAACATGGCAAGCAAATCTAACGAATGGAACGAACGTGGCGAGCAAATCTAACGAATGAAACGAACGTGGCGAGCAAATCTAACAAATGAAACGAACGTGGCAAGCAAATCTAACGAATGAAACGAACGTGGCGAGCAAATCTAACAAATGAAACGAACGTGACAAGCAAATCTAACAAATGAAACGAACGTGGCGAGCAAATCCAACAAATGAAACGAATATGGCAAGCAAATCTAACGAATGATATGAATGTGGCGAGCAAATCTAACGAATGAAACGAACGTGGCGAGCAAATCTAACAAATGAAACGAATATGGCTAGTAAATCTAACGAATGAAAAGAACGTGGCGAGCAAATCTAACGAATGAAACGAACGTGGCGAGCAAATCTAACAAATGAAACGAACGTGGCAAGCAAATCTAACGAATGAAACGAATGTGGCGAGCAAATCTAACAAATGAAACGAACGTGGCAAGCAAATCTAACAAATGAAACGAACGTGGCAAGCAAATCTAACAAATGAAACGAACATGGCAAGCAAATTTAACGAATGAAACGAACGTGGCGAGCAAATCTAACAAATGAAACGAACGTGGCAAGCAAATCTAACGAATGAAACGAACGTGGCAAGCAAATCTAACAAATGAAACGAACGTGGCAAGCAAATCTAACGAATGAAACGAACGTGGCAAGCAAATCTAACAAATGAAACGAACGTGGCAAACAAATCTAACGAATGAAACGAACGTGGCGAGCAAATCTAACAAATGAAACGAACGTGGCAAGCAAATCTAACGAATGATATGAATGTGGCGAGCGAATCTAACGAATTTAATGATCATGGCAAGCAAGCATTACAAAATGTAACATACACAGGGGGCAAAAATAGCTAATGAAACGCAATAGTAAAAGGAGAGAATGAAGCTAACAAATGCAATAAAGTGTTTAGCAAATAATTAAAAAGTGAAATGAATAGAACTAATGCGTGATCCAATATATTAAACGAGTGAGCACATATATCAAAACGAATGCAACAGATAGTCTGTACAGATAGTCTATTTTAGGAAAAGAATGAACTTAACTAACAGATGTATGAACCATTCGTACAGAGCGAATAAATTAATAAAACGAAATCATTGATCCGACAAAAATAATGCATAAATGGTGCGCCATGCAAAGATTATAACACGCGATTATATGTATACTAGCAGAAAATCTATTATGCAAACAATTCAAATCTCCTTTACAGGAGCAGGACTATCGTTTTGCACGGAGAAATTAACCTAAAAGGGAAACAAAAAAAATGAACAGAACAGAGAGACAAGAATAAGCTTTTTTAATAGATACACATATCGAAATAAATCGCCATATTGGACGTACTGGCATATAAAATTATAGTTCAAATGCATTCTAAGTAAGCTACATAATAGCCATACAGTTGCATAGAGCGAACTGGCACAGAAAGAACACATACAAAAAAGGAGAAGTGAACAGTCCACTAGTGACTGACATTTGCCAAAAGAAAGGTATACTGATGACAAGAGAGTAATAAATAGAATCTGCTCAACGAGCATATCAATCGTATGTAAATGGTTTTTGAGATGCAATAGCACGCGTGTATCAAATCATGAAAATCTTAAGGTAACAAAAACAGTATGGCATAGACAGTGTATGTAGCAAATCTATCACCCCCTTTTTCATACCATCTGAGCACCCCCTTTGATTGATGATCTGTTTATATTTTATGGCTTCCATCTTAATCTTATTTTTTATGTTGTACATATCTCTATTATCCATAGTTGTAAAAGTCTTCCAGAAATTTTTAGACTCATATTTAACGACCATGTCTGTGCGCATGTAGCACTTGCAGCACAACGCTGCTTGTGCCACCCATGTATATAATTGTGATCAATACCCATATACTATTTATGATTTTCCCTCTATCAAATACGCTGTTGTATTTTTAGATTGAGTGTGTATGTGCTCTAATAGCACTGTAACAAAATATATTCATCCAATTATTCTCATTGTTACTAGTGGCAACAAATTAAGATAGTGATCATGAAATGATACGAACGTGATTCTATTACTGCAGATGAACTACTACATAGAAGTTCAATTTTGCTGCAAGTGACTGGTAGGTGCATACCATATACACATTACTGGCTTATTTACATGGCCAATGCTATGTTCTTGGCCAAAGTGCCTTGCACTTTTTATGGTTGATATATATAGTCTCTCTTTTTCTCATTTGAACATACACAACTCTTCACTTCTATCTATTTTTCTAAACAACTCGTTATCGTTAGTATTAAGGATCACAACATGCAACAAGAACAACCTGCTACCGTCGCTACTGATTCACAGTCTACTATCACCATGTATCACTATCAACCAGATGGTGATTACTACGTGCGCGACGGCCCAGAAACTGAGGCAGATTCATGTGTTCGTACCGTGTACAGGATGACTGTTGTCCCTGAGGATGGTGACGCAGGCGAAGCTGGTAACATGGACATCGATGAAGCACCAACACTCGACGACGATATCATCATGACTTCAGAGCCAGTCAACTATACATGGACGCGTTATAAATATTCTGCACGCCAAGTCGGTCAACTCGTCAATCTCCATATCGACCGAGGTGATCCGGTTCGTACAGCTGCTGCAAAGGCTGGTATTGTACAAGCGTCGGCATACAACATCATAAAGGAAGCAGCAAACGACAGAAAGGTGCTCCCTGGATATCTACCAGCAACCGATGTTAAACGAGGAAACAACAAGAAGCTGAACGGCCTACATTCCGCTTTTATCAAAGCCAAGATTGACCAGTGTCCCACTATAGCTGTGAAGGACGTGCATGAAAAACTATACAGTACTTTTAAAGGTTTGTTAGCAAAATATCAACAGAATGTATAAGTAAACTTGTTGCATAGTCTACATCGCTAAAATTATATTGAAGATCTTACTATTAGTGAAAGTGCTGTATATCGGCATATTACAGAAAAACTCAAATACTCCTTGAAGCGCACTAAAAGAATACCTGCCGACCGTAATTCCACCAGGGGCCTTGACGAGCGAGCTGCCTTTGTTGCTGACCTAAAAACCCAGGAAATCGCTTATAGTACAAATTGTGTCTTCATTGACGAGTGTGGGTTCTCGAAGGCATACGCACGTCCTTCAGCTTGGTCAAAGATAGGCACTCCAGCAGCTGTTACTGTCCCAGCACTGCGATCCATCAACGTCAGTATTATTGGCGCTATGTCGAGCAAAGGCGTTATATTGCTTTCAAGGCATGCACCACCAGAAGAATACAAGCAAACGACACCAGAGTCATCTCGTAAACGGAAAAGAACGGCCCATGGTACAACACGCGATCATTTTTTGGATTTCATTAACGATTTGGTGGACATTCTGGAGGAGTTGGGCTTTCGAAACATGTGCCTAGTTATGGACAACGCAAGGATCCACAAGTGGGACAAGATCGAAGAAGCAATCGAAAGAGGCGGTCATCGCATAATTTTTGTCCCTGCATATTCACCATTTTTAAATCCCATCGAAGAATGCTGGTCAAAGATCAAGGGCCATGTTACAAAAAAACCGCTGACAACTGAAGATGACCTTATTGGACGAATCGAAAAAGCAGCATTTACAGTGACCGAAACCGATTGCCAACACTGGGTCGATCACTCGCAATCCTACTTTCCTGCATGCCTAGCAAAGCAGCCTATTATATAGGTATAGCCCTGATTTTAGTTCTCTTCCTTTTACTACTTTTACTGTAATACCAATACATTTCACCCTCTAGATTATATAAAACACGTTTTGGAACAGTATAATTATGTCGTTAGAAACGATAGTGTAGCTGGACGTGGACGTTGGTTACAGTAAATCACGTTCGTATTATCACTCTTCTGCTGTAGCAAAGTTGATTCTACATATAAATCAGAGATCCTGACTCTCAGACTTCCTATCTTCCTTCCACATAATAAATTC